TATAGCTTCCATATCCTCTTCTTCTTCTTGCGTGTCTTGTTCTTCCTCACCTTCTTCATCATCACTATCCAGAATCTTTACCGAGGTACATCTCACAATATACCTATACTTCATTATTTCAGGATCCCACTAATGACCCATCAGAGTAAGAGTATTTTTAGTGAATTCTTGATCAGTAGACAGAGCAACATATGGAATTCTAGGATCACCAACATTTTCCAGGTTTAGAACACTCTGAATAAATGAGGGATAGCATAACACAGTGCTTCTACCCGATTTCTGCAAATAAAAAATACTACTTGCAAAATAATAAGGCCAATGAACACTAATCTTGTTCTTGAGCACATATACTCGTTGAACTTCGGGTCTATCCACCCGGGAGTGACATTCCTTTTTGGTTCGAATAATGTGACACACGATCCAAAAGAGAATTTTGTCTATAGGAGTTAGAGCTCCAGTAGTCATAGACCTAGGAAACAAATTTCTAGCAACCACCCTATCACTAAAAGGGTTTTTGAGCATGAAATTCAAAGCAGTCTTAAATTCATAACGAGGTGTAATAACCGGTTTTAAAATGAGAGTCTGCACCCTTAATTTTTATCTTTAGGAAGGGAATATAAAGGGTAACCCTAATTTGACCAGAGATTCTAAGTTGTTTGACTCGTTTTAGATGAAAGGAAGGTGTTAGGCTCCTCACATCTACCTTGTTCATAAGGATACTAGGGTTTTAAAATGAAATTTTTAGAAAATAGGGTTTTAATTTTTATTAGTAGAACTCGCCACGATTTTAGTCATATGCCTATGTATCCTGTTATGAGGAATCAGAGTCTCAATTTGTAGTTCGCTGTTAGTTGGTGTTTTTTATGGATTACGAAGATATTTCGAATTAATCCTTGAACCAAGTCTGGGTTTGAAAATAGCGGAGTGTTTAGAAGAAGTTCACAGTTAATGAAAAATATCCCTAATCCTTTTTGAAAATAATATCTTGGCTTTTAAATAATGTTAGTGGAAAATTGTTAGTAATTTGATTGGTTAGATATTTTTTAAATATTTTAAAAATAAAAGAAAAAAATAGTTTTTTAATGCATGGGGAAAAATAGTTTTAATGCAACTAAAAGTTGAGTTAGAATTAAAAAAAAGAATTTTGAATTAAAAATGAACAATTTTAGAATTTATAAAAATATATATATCAAAAAGTTAAAATATTAATAATTATAAATAAAATAAATAAATTAAAATATAAAATACAAAAAAGAATAAAATTAATTAAAAATGCAGGGGGTGTAAATTCATACTTCATAGCGAAATTAGGGGGTTGGTTCAGCAAGGGCTCAAGTCCAGATATTGGACTTAGCCCAACGGTGCAGGGGGGTATGGTTTTTTGCTAGGGAAGTAAATTAAGGGTGCGCTTAGTAATCGGCTAGGCCCAAAACAAATAACAGGTACGTTAGACAAAGTGTGGGCGTGCGTTTGAGAGATGTTTGATGATGATCAAAGGGTCGTGAACAAGGGAACATACTATGAGCGTCATACTGGAATAAAGGGTGTTATATAAACAAATTCCTGGGTTGAGCACATTTTTTATTTTCTCTCCCTCTCTCTACAACAAACGACCCCTTGTTATTTTCTAGAGAGAGAGGCTCTTCCTCCTCTGCTTTTTGATTAGTTTTAGGTTTTATTTATAGGTTAGAATTTTAGACATATTAGGAAGAAATGTTTGATTTGTTCATACAATGTTTCTGTTTAGAAATTAGAGATTTATATTAGAAGAAATTAGGGATTGCATTTGATTTATTGTAAGTTAAATTTTAGAATTATTGTAAATCATAGGTTTGATTGAGATAGAAATTGATTTTGTATTCGATTTGAATTGTAATTTGGACGATCTTGTATAGAATTTGTTTTCAATTTTAAATATTTGAACCATAAAGCCTGAGTTGGTACGATTTTGATTTGCACATTATTCGTTTATTGTTTTTTTTTTCTAGTCTGGATTGAAATTAGGATTTCTTGCCTTAAGTTGACTAAGTCAACGATGTTAGAAAATAAACTTTAATAATACTAATAATAAGTGATAATAGAAATTTTTATTAATAATAAAACCAAATAATAATCAGGTGTTGCCTTTAGTCAACCTTTCAAAGGGTTAATGAGTCTCAAAAAATATCTTAATGGACTAGTCTGATTATAAATTATACCACAACCTCTTTAACTCACACCCCGACTTTAAACTTTAAACCCCTTATTCCCTTTCTTACTTATTTAACCTGGCCAAACAAATTCGTCTTAATGGGCCATTCAATTTTGATGGTCCATTTAAGACAATACACCCTCCCCTTATTGGTTTTAAACCCCTCATAGAACAATTTTCAAAAAAACAAAATGAACAAAAATGATTAAAGATTTGGAAAAATAATAATGGGACTGTTGAAATTGATAGGAAAAATTTAGAGTATGACAAGAGGAGGAAGCTCAGTGTCAGAAATCTTAATTGCATCATACTCTTGTGGCCACATACCAAATAAATATTTTCAGACGTTAGAATCAACCTTTAAAGTCTTGTTATTAATCTTATACTTAAAGTCAAAGTCCTCAAACTTTCCTTGAACACCCGCGGAGAATACCCTGACCAACTCTTCATTATAATGAGTATCACATTCTAGAAATAGATGATATTTATGAAACCTGAGCAGTTCAATAACTTTCGGAAGATGCATATGACCCACAATTTTCATATAAAGCACAGATTGTTTAACAACTTTCCTCTTACCAAATTTTTCCTCATAAGTTTCTACAAGATCATCAGAGAGAAGACATGGAGCATTTACCTGAATGTCGGATTGACCTTGAGAAGAGCTACCTTTGAAAGTTCTTTTCCTAGTTGTTCTTGTTGAAGCCATAGCAAAATCTCTTGAGGGATGTTGATATAATGGATTTTTAGGGTTTGAGAGATAAAATGGTTTTTAGGGTTTGAGAGAATGAGAGTAGAGGAAAGAGATATAAAAGAGAAAATGACTACACAAAATGGATAAAAACGCATAAAAGGAGGTTGGGTACACTAGTGATGTGTTGACCTAAACAGGTCTTGCATCGACGCGTTCAGATAAAAATTCTAGAATAATGAATGCTTCAGTATGAGCCGACCGCTGCAGCTCATAATTCAACCAATGCAGTCCAGATTTTAATTTTCAAAATTTTCATGTTATGTCATGCCATTCATACAATAAATAAAAAGCCTACACATTCATAAACTATGTCAAGGAAGAAAAATACATATCATAAAGCAAGTTTAACATTTACACATGATCAAGAGTGGTCGAATAGATAAGAACGACATTACCTCCATGGACGATTGAAGACGAATTCCCTCACTAACGCTTACATTAGACCTAGTAGATTATGAAAGGATATACATGGTGTAACTGGTTTTTAAATTTGAGAGTTGCCACCCTTAATTTTTATCAAGGAATGGAGTATAAAAGAGTAACCCTAAAAGTTAAAGATTCTAGATTGTTGACTCAGTTCTAGATGACAGGAAGGTTTTAGTCACCCCTTATCTACCTTGTTCACAAGGATACTAGGTTTAGAAGATAGTTTTAAGAAAAAGGTTTTTAATTTTAATTAGGGGGACTCGCCACGATTTTAATCGCATGCTTACGTATCCTCTTAGGAGGAATCAGAGTCTCATTTCGTAGTTCGCAGTTTGATTGGAGTTTTTTATAGATTGCGTAGAATTTCTTTTAAATTTATCTTTGAACCTTGTATGGGTTGTTAATACGCGGTTTGCAGTTTGATTTAAAGCAAATGCTATTTAATCCTTTTTCGAAGATAGTTTTTGTGATGTTAGTAGAAAAATGGTTATTATTGGTTAGCTGTAAAGCGGGGAAAGTCTGATAAAGTCTTTCTCTTCTTGTGGTCAGATGTTTGTCACATGTCGCTCGCGGATGTAGTAATTTATTAGTTGCGTAGATTTTAATTATTTGATTGTGAATAATAAACTGATAGATGATGTATCGACCGATTTAATTAACTGAAGATGGACATCTTATTATTATTTTCGTGATAACTTAGATTACTAAGTTAATTAAGATAGAAATGAAACTTTGAAGGGCGTCAATAGAATTGGAAAGTTGTACACTTCTATAAGGGTAAAGATATGACCCAAAATCTAAATCAATGAACCTTAATTCCTATCATAATTGAATAAAAAAATAATTAATAAAAAATAAATGGAAAAACAAACAAAAGTTGGATGTACAAAAGAAGGGGCGTTGCACTATCTATTGATATTAAGTGAATTACTTGAGTTGGTTAGTTTTCTAACCTTAAATTATTTATATACTAATAATAAATCAACACATAGTCATTTAAAAAATTAAACTAATATATATATTAAAAGGTGGAATGAGTCAAAATGCAAGAATATGTAATTTACTCTACCTCCCTCGTAAGTACCTTTCCCTTTTAACCTTCTCTCTTCATGCTTTACTTACAGAACATATCAACACAATTTCTTCTCCAAAATTTCTTAGTAAACCAAACTTAATCATTCTTATCTTATTCTTTCAATTAATCAAACATACAGCCATATTCAAAATCTCATGTTTTAATATTTGATAATTACTATCCATATAACTTGACTTTTCAACATATCAAAGTGGCCATTCATTGAGAGACACGTGGAAATTAAATTAAGTAAATAAAAAAGATAAATTGAGTAAATTGATATAACCTGAGATTGACAATGTAAAGGCATCTAAGCGGCTCTTTCTTTTCCCCCTTGTATTTCTTCATTTCTCATTCCCATTATATTTCTTCCTCTCTCATTCCCATTAGTTAAATTAAAAAGAATGCCAAAGAAAATTTAGAAAAATAGCAAACAAATAAAAAGGCTCAACATATCGGTGTTTTCTTCCAAACAACAAAACCATTTTTCTTCTCTCCTCACTTCTTCTACTTCTTCAAATTTCAAAGGGTAAACCAATCCGCATAAAATAAATTTACGTCAAAATCCACATAAACAAAAGGAAAAGGACAAAAAACCTGTAGAGTAACACAATGGTGGTCGGATCTATGCGGTTGTGGCGATCGGTCTGAATCGGAGACCGCGGCAGCGCTGGTTTTTGGTTTCGGAGTAGATCGCTCGGCAAAGTATGGCGGCTATCCGGAATCGTTGATCTCTTGAGGAGGGTGGTCGAGATCGGAGTGGCTTGTGTATTCCGTCGAGTAGTGGTCAGAGTTCTTAATTCATCATTGTTGTTGTTTTTGTCAGAACTAAACGGAAAAACACTGTAGGTATGTTTGGGATGAAGATTCATGTTTAAAGGTGTTGTCGTGTTGGAAAGCTGCTTCGGTGGTTTCGAAACAGTTGTTCTTCACCTTCTCTTATGCAGCTAATAATATGAATCTGTATAAAGAAATTAAAAGTATATTGATTGTTTGGTGATTTTGAAAAAGACTCATGATTATGTGTTTGCAGGTTGTTTGAGGTTAGTGATGAGGATTTTGCTAACAATAGCGTGTTAGGGAGATCTGTGAAAAAACAAGAGTGATTAACATGTTATATTAGCGTGTTATTAGCTTTTTTACAATGTGCATATGACTTTTCGACTAAACAAAATCCTGTTTAATAATGGTTTAGGATTGTTAGAAAATAGGTTTTGTTTCTAACGTGTGTGCTAGTGTGTACACCAATGGGAAAATTGTTAATGCAAAATATAACTTGTAAAGTAGAACCATGGTAAAAGAAAAAAATTAATTAAAAAAATCAGAAAGCCTCATATGTTAATCATCGGCCAAGAATAAAGATTAAATCCAATAAATTTGAAAAGCAATTTTGGGGTTGTTGTCTGATATAATCAACAACCTCATAATAAACCTAAAAAAAACAAGATTTTTAAGAGTGGATTGTTGATTTTTGTTGATGAATTATGGATTATTGATTTTCGGGATGAAAAATTAGGACAAGCTAAAGTCCTATTCCTAGGCTTGAATTAGGATTAAAAAAACTTAGAGACTAAGTTATCCAAAAGGCCAAAAGAAAGCCCAAACAAGATGTTTAAAAGTAGTAAAAATAAACCTCATACTTGCAAGTTTCACTCCTTACCAACTGTGTTATGTTGTTTATTCTAAATAAAAAGCCAATTGAAAGTACATGAAGAGGAACAAGGATTTGTTTATTCAAAAATAGAAATAATCTTGAAATAAATTATTTATATTTTTAAACAGGTTTGGAAGAGAATATTTATAAAAATCAAGGAATATTTATAAAACCAATATTTAAGAATATTTTTCACCGTAGAAATAAAGGGCGGGAAAATTTAGGGTATGACAGTTGCCACTATTTAATCACTCTTCAATTGAATGGTGCGAGAATATGCATGTCTCGCACATTCAAACCGAAAATTTATTAAATAATGGAAGACCCCAAAATTTGACCAAAGGTTGGCTAGATAAGGATGTTGATATAGCATACCTAAGAGCGTCGAGAAATAGGCAATGATTATGATGTATAATCCTACCGGAGTTTGAATAGAGAGATTGAAGAATAAGTTTGACCTAGATATGATGACGCAGATAACTCGTCAATACCTAGAAAAGAGATCATAGTTTTTTTTCTCGTATTTACCATGACCTAGGAGGTAAACAACACAAGTTGAAAGATTACAAGGTTATGCTATAAAACGTTCCCATGGGTACAAAGAGTAGGCATAAATCATGATGTATCATCTTACTAGAATTTGAACCAAAGTTTTTTTGATAGAACTTAGACATGACGACGTGGATAATTCATCAATATCTAAGAGATTGTAGATTCTATCGCATGTTTACAAAAATACAAGTTTTGAAAAGAGTTAACTTACTAATGCTTGGAGACTAATATAGTAAGTTTGGATTTGATTTGATTTTGTCTATTCATCAAAACTTAGGGGATGAATAAAGCAAAGTCTGATAACACATTGCTGCATGGAGACTAATGCAATCGATTATGCATAATTATTACATATCTATCGCAACCTAGGGGATAGATATTTGAAAAGAGCTTGATAACTACATTTCTCCATGGAGCCTGATGCAATAAGTTATATTGGCGACTTCGTCATGTTTACTACTACTGAGAGAGAAAATAATATGAGGATGAATTCACATATTTATTGCAACCTAAAGAATGAATAATATGAACCAGCAATTCACACATCTACCACAACCTAGGGGATAGATGATTGAAAAAGCTTGATAACAACATCGTTGCATGAAGACTGGAGCAATGAGTTATATGGTAAATTTCCCACATCATTGCATGAAGACTGAGGTAATGAGTTATATCGAGAAAGAAACTTGATAACAACATTGCTGCATGGAGCCTAACGCAATGGGTTACGTAAATTTATTTTGCATATCTATCACAACCTAGGGGATAGATATTTGAGAAGATCTTGATAACTATATCGCTGCATGAAGACTGAGGTAATGGGTTACATAGAGGAAGAAACTTGATAATGACATTGTTGCCTGGAGACTGATGGAATGGGTTATATCGCAGAAAAAGTTTGATAACAACATTGTTGCATGGAGACTGATGCAATGAAACAAGTTTGATAATGACATCGTTGCATGGAGATTAGCGCAATGAGTTGAATTGTTGATTTCATACATTGCTGCATAAAGTATGGCACAATGGAGAAAGTTTTTACAATGACATTGTTGCATGGAGACTGACGCAATAGATTATATTATAGATAAGGAAACACATTGCTGCATGGAGACTGACGCAATGGGTTAAACTGCGGATTTCGTACATTACTGTATGGAGCCTAACACAATGAACTATATGGCTGAGGAAGAAATGCATTGCTGCATGGAGACTGATGCAATAAATAAAATTGGGAATTTTACACATTGTTGCATGGAGCCTGACACAATGAGCTATATCGCGAAAAAGGAAACAATATTGCTGCATGGAGCCTGATGCAATGAGTTATATTATGGATTTCGCGCATTGCGGCATGGAGCCTGGCATAATGAGTTATATTACGGATTTTACGCATTGCTGCATGGAGCCTGACACAATGAGCTATACCATAAAGAAAGAACATATTGCTGCGTGGAGACTGACATAATAAGTTAAATATAGAAATTTTCACACATTGTCGCATAGAGACTAACACAATGCGTGGAATTGTTGATTTCATAACATTGTTGCATGGGGTCTGTCACAATGAGATAAATCATGAAGAAAGGTCATATTGTTGCGTGGAGACTGACACAATAGGTGGAATTGCTAATTTTGCAATATTGTTGCTTGGGGCCTGACACAATCAGCTAGATCGCAAAGAAAGAACATATTGCTGCGTGGAGACTAGAACAATAAGTTAAATATAGAAAATTTCACACATTCTCGCATAGAGACTGGCACAATGGGTGAAATTGCTGACTTCGCAACATTATTGCTCGGGGTCTGACGCAACGAGCTAGATTGCAAAGGAAGAACATATTGTTTCGTGGAGACTGACAAAATAAGTTAAATATAGAAAATTTCGCACATTGTCGCATAGAGACTGATACAATGGGTTGAATATATAGGAAGTTGTTTTGAATGATCCACATTTTAGATAACTAAATCAGAGATGAGAACGGATTTTAATGGTTATTTGTTTCTCACCGAGGTAAGAACTGATAGAGGGCCCTAAGATATTGGCTCTATTCGTAGTAGGTTTCGAGTAATGCCATGCATGACACATATGCATGGAAACATAGACTTTGGAATGCATATGTAACGAATGTGTGTATGTCTTAAACATATATTAGTGCAAACTATGTGTATATGCCCCAACTATTATGGAAAATGTTTTTGATAATTCTCCTTCGTTAAACCATCAGGTTCTGGTAGTTATCAACTTCCCAACATTGTTGGTTTCCATTAATTATATCTCTACGTTGATTTGAATTTAGTGAAAAGTGTCAGCAAGATCTTAATGTTTGTATCGTAGGCGCATGTGTAGGTATGGACGTAGACGTGGATGTTGGAGTGGATGTTGACATAGTCGTGGGCGTAAGCGTAGGCGTGGACGTAAGTGTAGGCATGGAAATAAGCGTAGATCTTCTTTTGACGTTCTTCTAACCATAATAAACTTTGATGCTTTATCAAATGTTCTTTGGTGTTTCCGTATGTTTAATGCGTCAAATGTTATGAATGACCTTGAGATTTTGATATAGTTATGTGTTTGATGTGAGGCTTTTTAATGGGAAATATACTTTGATAATTCTGAGGAATCTGCTGTCGAGATTTAACTGAGAACTACCTTCTATCGAGATCTACTGGATAATCATTTGTCATGATTGACCAGGGGAATCTACTATCGAGATTCGATCGTGAATTACCCTTTGTCGGGGTCTTTTGGAAAATCATCTGTCGAGATCAACTAGGGGAATCTTCTGCCAAGATTCGATTGAGAAATACCTTCTTATGAGGCCTTCCTGATAATCAATTGCCATGATTAACCATGGGAATCTACTCCTGAGATTCGTTGGTGAGTTACCTTCTTTCGAGGTCTTCCAACTAATCCACTGTCAGGATAAACCAAGGGAATCTACTGTCGAGATTCAATTGAAATATACCTTCTGCTGAGGTCTTCTGGAAAATCAACTACCGTGATCAACCAGGGGAATCTACTGCCGAGATTTGATGTAGAATTAATAGCTTGATTTCCAATGATGTATGTCTTTACATAAAATAAGGTTTTATGCTATGCGTGCAAATTTGATTGATGCATGAAATGTAATGATTGATTGATGAATGAAATTTAATGATTGGTTGATGTATGTGATGAATGTCATGGATATCTTTAAATAGATGTTGGACTTTGAAATGTGAATGTGTAATTGGGATTTTTTGAGATATGCTCAACCCATGCTATTGAACATCCTCAAATGGATGAGATGATAAGTGTTGCTTAATTCTGGATCAAGGAGCCCCAATTCTTTATGATTATGACTCAAATGTTTTTTTTAATGATGCCCTGTGATGGATCGTGGATGACTAAAGCGTAGAGGTTTTCCTATGCAACAAGGTTTCTTGTCACATGGTGGTTGAATGTTATGAAAACATGATTTCCTGATACTCGATTTGAACTTGAAGATTGCTGATGTAGGAGAAAGATCCACTGGAGGTTATGAAAGTACGCGAAGAGCTTGCCACTATGTGGACTGTCTTTCCTTAATTTTTTTGTAGGGTTTTAGAGGAGATTCTCAGTGATATGATCTTGGAAATAGTTTGATCATAACATGAATGACCCTACTATTTTGCATTATGCCCCTG